ATTTGGAAATGCTGAGGTCGACCGTCTTTTCAAAATATCTCATTTTTTAAAGTTGTTCAACGAACGAAAAGCTCACCAAGGTAATGTACTCTTTCGAAAAAAACACCTTTACAAATGCAAAATTGGAAGATTTTTTAGGACCACGCTGTATGTAGATTCACCTAGGCCTGATGTAATGTTTTGAGAAGAAGAATTGAAAGAAAGTGGAAATTTAGAAGAATAAAACAAAAAATACAACTTCAGTCCACATGTGGACTGCATGGTCGTCAATGGGTTAAACTGTTTGAAGAATGACTAAACTGTCTATCACAAAAACCAAAGACCTATCTTTTTCAGAATCACCGTCTTCGTTAGAGCCTGATATAATTAATAATTAATAAGTAAAAGCTTTTGTTAGTTCGAAGCAACTCCCAGAACAGTTTGACACCGGGACTTCTTGGGGTCAGCTCCCTTTTTAAGGTTCCCCGCTCTCCCTCGTAGTGTAATAGTCGAGTTTCCTCTCAGAGTTTTTTGGAACTTTCTATGAAAATACTGCAAAAGGACGCCGCCCAGGAGTATAGGCATAACATATCAAGAGCTTTTATGATGTATTCGCAATTGGTTGACCAAACCAGAGTTTGAATTCGCTCTTTTTGTTACAGGCTGTGAAGAGGTGGAACGAAGTGTGAACAGAACTGCTCATAAGGGGCTTCAAAGCCTAATGCTTGACCCAAGTTTGGATGGATCAAAGCACTGGAGTGGCGGGATTCGAAAGCGGAAAGAAGTGCGTGCTCAAAATAGGTAGACGATTCGGGCAGCAGACGGTTAAACAAGCAAGGAATAGGCAGCCGGATTTGTTATGGCTATACGCTCAGGGATTGGGTAGTGTCCCTACATAGAATTCCCATGGAATCTTCCAAAAAATCCCGGGACAAGGCTAGACCTTTGCGGAATTCGACGGGTACTCCTGGTACAATCTGGTAATTACCACCTTGAAACGAGCTGACGCGTGATGGTTAAGATATCACTAGCTAACGGCGTACCAGAACTGGTATACACTATATGGCTGTTCGTCAAAAGTGAATGCGCAGGTTTATCGAGCGGACTCTACTTCATTGGAAGTGTTTTAGTACCCATTTCACCCAAATCCTCAACCCAACTGAGCGCTGTTGGTGCTTTCACTCCTCTCAAATGATCGAATGAGGCTCATAGACGTGTCTCTATTCTTGGCTGTGTTAACATTGAAATTAGTAAGTCGAATTCATATTTCTTCTGTTCTTTTTTACATTTCTTAATTACATTCATTTCCTCACATATTATTCATCTCATTCAGTTAAGTGCGACCAGCAAAGACAACGTTAAAAGCGTAAAAGATTTGGCACTGAGCCAGGAAGACTTTAATAAGATACGTACTATTCACAACAATTGGTATTTATTCTCTATCAAAGCTTTACTTGCTCAAATGGCAAAAGAATTTTTATCTACAGCCAGTTATGGTGAGTTTCCCCGAAAATTCTATGAAATCGTGTTTCTCTTCGCATCTTGTCGTTATGCTATGATTTCTACTGTATTTTTATGATCCATTTTGTCTTGAATTAACATTTTTTGGTCCGCTATTCGTGCCATTGATTTGCCTACATTGAGAAAAAAAGCACCCACATGCTGAGTGGCATGCTAGGTCCTTGCACAGACTCAGTCGGCATCGAACACCACCAGGAACCAGAAACAGGAACTCGAACACCGGTCGCATCACAGAATGCCATTGATACACTCTGCTCGATTTATCAAAACCACATCACCACCGTTAGGGCCCCTCCACATCACCAAATCGGCCATCAGACAAGGTCTATGCTTCTNTGCACGCTAGAAAGTGATTAGTGGAATCAATCATACCTACAGTTGAAGCGAGTCCTATCAGTATCCAATCAGGACAGCACCTTTTCGGTTTGTCACTCCTTCATCATTAATTACCCCTCCCTAATTTATTTAGTTCTCTACCATGGAATAGAACTATGTATAGTTATCAATCGAATGACACATCGATATTAATTCGCTATCGACTGCCGAGAACAGGCTACGAGGCGAAGTCGACACCTTATGTATGTTTGATCTCTTGGTATAAGAGCCATAGAAATCAAGAAATCAGAGAATCAGAACCAACTTCCTGACTGTTACTACCCCGAAGGGTTTCCCATAACACTATTACTGCCATAACCATTACCATGGAGAGTTTTGTGGGTGGACAGACGGACAGGCAAATGTACCGGGTAACAGGCCAATGACCGAATTACCAGTTGCTACTACTAGAAGAAGAACTACTGAGCATATACGCAATCTCATTTAGGTGATAGGCCATCTAAAGGGCTTCTAAGGCTAGAAGTTCTTCTTTAT